ATCTATCAATCATCTTTCTATCCATCGTCTGTCTGTCTATCTATCTATCTATCTATCTATCTATCTATCTATCTATCTATCTATCATCTTCATCTATCTAATGAATCCTCTATCTGTGTGTGTGCATGTGAAGGTCAGGACAACTTGCACAGTCAGTTCTCTCCTCTTACCATGTGGGTCCTGGGGATTGAACTCAAGGTTGTCAGGCTTGGGTGGCAAGCACCTTTACCCTCTGAGCCATCTTACCAGCTCTGTTTAGTTTTGAGATAGACTTATGCTATATAGTCCAAGCTGGCCTCAAACTCATGATAATCCTCCTGCTTCAGCCTCATGGGTACTGGGATTATAGGTTTGCATTATAGCCAACCACTTCTCTCTCTCTCTCTTTTTAAATGTATATTTTATGTATAATTTTTATTTTATGTGTATGAGTGTATTGCCTGCATGTATGCGAGTGCATCCATGTTGTGCAATGCCACAGAGGTCAGAAGAGGGCTGTGGATTCCCCTGGAACCGGTGTTAAGGACGGTTTGTAGCCACCATATGGGTGCTGGGAATTGAACCCGGGTCTTCTGCAAGAGCAGTCAGTGCTCTTAACCACTGAGCCATCTCTCCAGCTCTCACCACTTCTCTAAGAAGTAGTTTTTGTTTCTTGTTTTGAAGTGGGTTTGGGATTAGTGACTAACATTTTTAAATTTTGGGGGGGTCTTTTTGAGACCTGTAGCCCAAGCTAGCCTCAAACTCACTATGTAGACCAGGCTAGCCTTGAAATCAGAGAGCTTTACCTGCCTCTGCCTCCCAAGTGCTGGGATTAAAGGTGTGTGACTACCATATTTTACTTTACATATGACTATATAAATCACCTAAAGTCCTTCTTAAACTGAGCCACCTCTCCAGCCCTGTTTTTTTTTTTTTTTAGATAAGGTCTCACTATGTAGCCCTGGCTGGCTTGCCTCTTCCTCTTTAGTGCTGGGATTAAAAGCATGTGCCACTAGGCCTGGCAACCGCCCTTGAGTTTTTTTAGATAGAATCTTGTTAATCCAGGCTAGCCTCAAATTTGTGATCCTCCTGTCTCAAGTCTCCCAAATAGTGTATACCATCACAACCATAAATACAACACATAGGAGGCAGATTTATTTATTTTTATTTTCAGTGTATGAGTGTTTTGCCTGCATGTATATGCACTCTGTGTATCACAAGAAGGGTACTGGATTCCCTGGAACTGGAGTTACGGATGGTTGTGAGCTGCCATGTGGATGCTGGGAAACAAACATAGGTCATCTGAAAGAACAGCAAATGCTCTTAAACACTCAGCCATTTCTCCAGCCTGGATCAGGAGTTTAAGACCAGTCTTGACTATAGTGAGTTCAAGGCCAGCATGGGCTATAAATAATCTATCTCAAAAAACAAAAACAATGGGGCTGGAGAGATCACTCAGCGGTTAAGAGCACTGACTGCTCCTGTAGACGCTGCTCTTTGAGGGTTCAATTCCCAGCACACACATGGCAGCTAACAATCATCTGAAACTTCAGTTTCAGGGGGATCCGATGCCTTCCTCTGATCTCCTCAGGCCTTGAACAACAGGGGTGCACTTATATACATGTAGGTAATACACTCATACACACACAAAAAAATAATAACAAAAGAAAAAAAAAACCAAAAACAAATAAAAAAAACAAAACAAAACAATAGAATCCAGGAATGGTGGCCCATGCCTTTCATCCTAGCATTCAGGAGATAAAGGCAGGTGGATCTCTGGAGACTGGGGCCAGCCCGGTCTACATAGTGAGTTCTATGCCAGCTGGGACTACAGGGAGATTCTGTCTCAAAAAGATCAAAAACAAAAAACAAACTCCCCACCAAAATAAATAATAACTTCCTAGGTGATTCTGAATGTCAAATTTGGGGAAGCACAACTCAACTTTTCATAACTTTGGAGTCCTTTAATTTCTCTATTTTATGCCTCAAATGACAGGAACAAATGTATACTTTCCCTATTAAGCAGGACTTTCAAATATTAAAAGATATGGCATTAGTTATGTCAAGTATCATTCTAAATATCAAAATGCTAATTGGTAAAATGCAATCACAGCCCTCAAATTTATAGTGAGACTGAATCCACTCCCACTCCTTCCTTCCTGAGTCAGGCTCTCACCATGTAGTCCATCCTCTTGCCTCAGCCTCCAGAATGCTGTGATTGCAAATTTCAGCCTTACTTTGACACCCAGCACACCCAGCAAAGTAAGGCTGAAATTTATCACAGTTCTATGAAGGAAGAAATTAATGATGTTTATTTTAATCAGCAGCAGTACTGTTAGTAAGACTGGACTCCATCAGGACTGTTTATGAGTTGTGATTATAGAAAACCACTATAATTAACTGGCTGACATAAGGTACCTTATGGCCCAAATATTTAGACATTCTAATTTACTAGGTTACTGTTCTTTGGACTCTTCAACATATTTCTTGTTGAAGTTTTCTAGATTCAAGAAATGATGGGGGTTGGGGGGGGCAGCAGTAAGGTAGCTCAGCAGGTAAAAGTGCTTGCTGCCAAGCCTGATGTTCTGAGCTTGATCCCTGGGCAAGGAGAGAACAATTCTCACAAATCATCCTCTGACCTGTACATTTGGGTTGTGGCAGGCACATGCTACAAGCGCACGCACAAATAAATAAATGCAAAAAACCTTTTTAAAAAAATAAATGGTTGGGGGGTAGAGAGATGGCTCAGACGTTAAGAGCACTGGCTACTCTTGCAGAGGACCCAGGTTCAATACCTAGTACCCACATGGTGACTAACAACCATCTGTAACTCCAGTTCTAGGGGATCTAATATCTCTTCTGAGCTCTGCAGGCATTGCACAACACAGGTGCACTTATATACGTGCAGGCAATATACTAATATACATAAAATAATTAAATAAAATACATAAAAATTAATATAAATAAAAAGAAATGGTTGGGGCTGGGGATGTAGCTCAGTGATAGAGTGCTTCCTAGGATGAAGAAAGTCTTGGTTCAATCCCCAGAACTAAAAAGAGGAAAAAGAGGAATCATAACCTTTGAGCTGATGAGATGCCCCTGTGGTTAAAGGACACACACACACACACACACACACACACACACACACACACATTAAATAAAATGCTTTTAGAAATTAAAGAAATGGCTAGCAATTTACCTCTTCTGAAGAGCTCATTTTGCTCCCAGTTAATCCTGGGACCATGGGATTCATCAGATGGATCCGTTTTGCATAGCCAAGTGCAGGGAGGTACTGAGATGAGAAACAACACAAGCAGGGTTAGTGTGAATTCCTCTTCCGTGCTCTCATCTTACACAATCTGAGCAGCAACTTCACAGTGCTATGCATCTCTGATCTTATGAACACATACAGTCTTCAACGGTCATCATTATGTTAGCAGACTTTTTTTTCTTTTCTGAGACAGAGTCTTGCTATGAGCCCTGGTCCTGGAACTCACTGTGTGGACCAGGATGGCCTTGAACTTGCAACAGTCCTTTTGTCTCTTGAGGTATGAGATACCAGGCCAGGCAGTGAGCAGGGTTTTGCCCTATAGCTTTTCTTTTAGCAATCCATTCGAGGCTATTCAACTCCCAATAAAAGAGTAAAAGCTGGAAACACATAGAGCAAAACCACTGCTGGCTCTGAACAGCAATCACTGGAAGGCTACAGAAGGAAAGCTCATCCTCTTTCTCTACAAGGCATGTTTTGAAACCAGGTGCTAAGAAAAAGACTAAGCATTAAACATTCAGGAGGCTGTGTGAGGGGTGATCTTCACTGTCAGGATTTTAGAATCAATGAAGATCTACACTGCTGCATATGTCAGTAAAGATGTTTCCAGAGAGGTTTCACTGAAGAGGGAAAACATGGGCAGAGTGCTTAGACTGAACAAAAGGGTTTAGGGAAACGGGGCAGGAAGATCTGATGAGTACCAGCATTTTTCTGCTTCCGGATTGTGAACTGTGTGTGGCCAGCCGCCTCACACTCCTGTCAAGACTCCCCTACCATGACAGACTCTGCGCTCACTAATGATGGACCAAAACAGATCCTTCCTCTGATAGATTGCTTTTTGCCAGGTATATGGTCATAGTGACAGAAAAAGTAATACAGACTGCCAGGTGGCGAGGATTTGGGGTGGGGTTGAAGAGAAGGAAGGCCTTAAGGATCCCCAAACAAATCCTGTGTCAAAATTCTCCATTGATTTCTTTGTTTGTTTGTTTTTATTTATCATGTAGCCTAGGCTGGCCTTGAACCCCTGAGCCCCTGTACAAATGCTGAGATTATAGGCATACGCCACCACCCTTACTTCTATTGGTTTCTTGGCTGACGGCTGTGCATGCACATGGACTGTTCTATTAGACTCTGGGAGGCTGTAAACCTGACCAGATAGTACTAGGGAGATAAAAGATAAAGGTTCAGTGTGATGAATGCTTTCTAATGCAGAGATTTCATGTGGGAACTCCACAGAACATACCCTATAAATAAGAAACAGAGTGAGAGAAAAATAAAGTGAACCTCCTCCAGCAAGGCCTAAAGCCAACCTTTGAGTGCTAAGTCAGAAATTCAGCAGTCTACAGACAACACAGCAGCCTATAACCACAAGCCAGAGCCTCTACAACAGCTCTACAATCTATTTTTTTAAATTTTATTTATTATTTTTATTTTATGTATATGAGTGTATTGCCTGCATGTAGGTAAGTGCACCCGTGTCGCGCAATGTCCTTCCCCTGGAACTGGAGTTAGGACGGTTCGTAGCTGCCACGTGGGTGCTGGGAATTGAACCCAGGTCCTCTGCAAGAGCAGTCAGTGCTCTTAACTGCTGAGTCATCTCTCCAGCCCCAGATCTACAATCTTTTTAAAACAAGAGAAAAGCAGTACAAACGGGAAATAGAGAACAGTGTCTGATAGTCAAAGTCAAGAGAAGTGGATTCAGAAGCAATCCAGATATTAGCATATGTAGACCAGGAAGAAAAAAGAACAGACAAAATAGTTAAAAACCAGAGACTTGTAGAAGACAGCAAGAGATGGGCTAGAGAGATGGCTCAGCGGGTAAGAGCACTGATTGCTCTTGCAGAGGACTTGGGGTCGATTCTCAGTACCCACATGGCAGCTAACAACTGTCCATAACTCTAGTTCCAGGGGATCTGACACCCTCTTCTAACCTCCACGGCATTGCACAAGACATAAGGTGCACTTATATACATGCAGGCAACACACTCATATGCATAAAAATTATAAAGTATTAAAAAAAAAAGAACTAAATGGAACTTTTAAAATGGCATCATACAGTACTAGGGACTGGAGAGATGACTCAGTGGTTAAGAACATTGGTTGTTCTTGCAGAAGACCTGGGTTCAAATCCCAGCACCCATGTGGCAGCTAACAACTGTCCGTAACTCCAGTCCCAGAGGATCCTCCACGGGCATTGCACAACATGGGAGCATGTACCTACATGCAGGCAATACACACATACACATAAATAAAAATAATAAAAATTTTTTTTTTAAATTTTATTTTGTTTTTTTTGTTTTGAAGCAGGGTCTCCCTGTAGCCCCAGCTATCCTGGAACTCACTATGTAGACCAGGCTGGCCTTGAATTCACATTCTGAGGGGAATGGTTGACAAATTTCAAAATTTGTGATTATTAACCCACAGATTCAAAAAGCTCAGCAAAATTCAAGCAGGAGGGATACAAAAAAAATTAACAGGAGCTAGGTCTGGTGACACACACCTGTAATTCCAAATTTGGAAGGGAGAGGCAAGAGGATTAGTTCATGGTCACCCCTGGCTACAGAAAAGTTGGAATACATGAGATCCTCTCTCAAAAAAAGTCAAACTTCAAGCTGGGTGTGGTGGTGCATGCCTTTAATCCCAGCACTTGGGAGGCAGAGTCACGGCGATCTCTGTGAGACTGAGACCAGCCTGGTCTACATAGTGAGTTCTAAGACCAGCTGGGGTCACAGGGAGACCCTATCTCAAAAAACAAACAAGCAACAACAACAACAACCAAAAAAACCCCAAAATCAGGGCCAGTGAGGATGTCTCAGCAGGTAAACGAACTTTCTGGAAGAGACTGATGAACTGAGTTTGAGCCCCAGACCCCACATATATATATGGAAGGAGAGAACCAACTTCATAGAGTTGTCCTCTCATATCCACACATGCATCCTCACACACTTCACACACATTCACACACACAATAATTTATTACTTAAAAAAAAAAAAATCCAAACCAAATCAAAACAAGCAAAAACCCTCATAAACAAAAAATCCAGACCAGAGGGCTGGAGAGATGGCCCAGTGGTTAAGAGGACTTGCTGCTCTTTCAGAGGACCTGGGTTTGGTTCCAAGCACCCATATGGTAGCTTACAACTGAGCCCCAGACCCCACATATATATATGGAAGGAGAGAACCAACTTCATAGAGTTGTCCTCTCATATCCCCACCTGCACCCTCACACCCTTCACACACATTCACACACACAATAATTTATTACTTAAAAAAAAAAAAAAATCCAAACCAAATCAAAACAAGCAAAAACCCTCATAAACAAAAAATCCAGACCAGAGGGCTGGAGAGATGGCCCAGTGGTTAAGAGGACTTGCTGCTCTTTCAGAGGACCTGGGTTTGGTTCCAAGCACCCATATGGTAGCTTACAACCATATGTAACTCCAATTTCAGGGCATTCAATGCCCTCTCCTGGCCTCTGTGGACGTTGCATGCCTGTCGCGCACTTACATACACGCAGGCAAAACACTCATATACATAAAATAAAAATAAATTGAAAACCTCCAACTACCTCAACAGCTTTTTTTTTTAACTTATTCAAGCTCTTTCCAAGAAAAGAGTATGCATTTGGGCTGATTTCCTTCTAAACCCTGTTAAACCCCATCTCATAGACCAGCAGTTTATATAAAACTCAGGGCAGTATAGATCAACTGCTCTGAGAGAGAACAGTACTCCTGACTGGCAGCACCAGGAAGGAACAAAATCCAACCAGTTCCAGAGCAGCTTTCCAGGGGTACTGAGAGCACGGCTGTTGTAGCAGACAGACCTGGGACCTAAGCATTGCTCAGTCACTGCTATGTGGTACTGGACAACCTCTCCTTTCTCCCCCTCACAGATTGAGAAGCGCTACCTACTGTACATGTGATTATGACTGGTGCCACTAGCATATTATAGTCAGCAAACTTCAGTGCACACCTCTGAGCTCACACAAAAGGAGGAAAGCTGACACTAACCTTCTCTGCAAAGGTGAAAATCTTTCTCTGATCAATACCTCCAAATTGAGCATCCACTTTTAAATATTCTTCATCCAAAGCCTGTGGAAAGAAACACATGAACATTTATCCACTATCTTTGTCTCCTGTGAGTCTGAGACATTAGAAAATCACGTGATTTTTTTCATAAGAACCAGAAAGGAAATAACACACACGAAGCCTCCTTGTTGACTCAAATAGCTGCTAGGTGCCTGTGGCCAGCTGTACCATATGGAGCAGGCTCTGCTCTCAGGATGTTCCTATTCAATCCAGTGTGGAAGGAGTCATGCCAAAGGATCCATACTGAATAAGGCAGCCTGCGATATGTCAAAGAAGAGGCAGAAAGCAGTAACTCCTGCCCACCTGCTTGCAGTCCCAGTTACTTGGGAGACAGAAGCAGGAGGGTGTCTTGAGCTCATCAGTTTAAGACCAGCCTGGGCAATATAGTAACATACTGTCTGGAAAAAGAAAAAAGTAACTCCCAGAAATGAGTGTGGTAAGAACATATGCTTAGTTTTGGTAAGATCCTGGGTTCAATCCCTAGCACCAAAACTGAACAAAAATAAAAAGTTTTGTGACAGGTTGCTCATTTGCAGTATATTCTGATCTTCTGTTTATTATTATTTTATTTATTGTGTGTGTATGTGTGTGGATACACATGCCATAGTGTATGTGTGAAGGTCAGAGGACAACTTGCAGGAGTCTCCTTTCACCATGTGGGTCCTGGAGATAAAAGACAGATTGCCAGGCTTGGTGAAAAGGCCTCACTTAACTCTCTGAGCCATCTTGATGGCCCAGTATTCTGATCTTTTCTATTGCTTTGGTTTAAAAAAGTTTCCTCATTACTTTGAAAAAAAAATTAAAACTGAACTGCATATAGTGGCTCATGCTGTAATCCCGGCAATCAAGAGGCTGAGACAGGATGATCGCTATGAACTTTAGACCAGTCTGTGCTACACAATGAATCAATTGCAAGTCAACTTCCCACCCCCTCATTCACCAACACCAAAAAAAGTGCCAGGCATGGTGGCACATACCTTTAATCCCAGCACTTGGGAGGAGACAACAGGTGGAGCTCTGTGAGTTCAAGGCCAGCCTGGTCTACAACTCGAGTTCCAGGCCAGCTGGAGCTACAGGGAGACCCTGTCTCAAAAAGACCAAAAAAGAAAAAAAAAAAAAAAAAGGCAAAACAAGATTATTAAATGAACAGCGTCTGTCACTCATTACATGCCAGGCCTGGTGCCAGCCCTGATGATTCAGGGATGAATCAGGCCCACATCCTCCCTGCAAGAAGCTCAATTATCTACTTGATGAGAGACACATAAACAGATCATTTCGGCACGGCATGTAAGGGCTAACTACATGTTCATGTAAGGAGCAATGCCAACACCAGGGAAGAAATGATTACCTTGGTCTAGTCAGATGGGTGTAGGAATCTTCTGAGAATCAGACTGTGGGCTGGGCCTGTTTTAAGTATAAGTGTTCTTGACCATGAAGAGGAAACAGTATGAAAAGCAGAAAGGTGTGAAAGGTTTAGGAAAGCGGTGAGTGATTCAGTCTGCAAAAGCAAACTTCAAGAGATTTATAGGATGGTGAGTGAAGAGGTTAGAAAATGAGGTGAGGAGCTGAACATGGTGGCAGACAACACCTGCAATCCCAGCACTCAGAAGCAGCCTGGTCTACATAGTGAGTTCTAAGCTAGACAGGGCTACACAGTGAGACTTAAGTCTAAAAAATAGAAAGAAAGTAGGTAAAGATCATTGTTGTTCTGAGCGTGGAGGTGCATACCTTTAGTCCCAGCACTAGGGAGGCAGAGGCAGGCAGATCTCTGTGAGATCGAAACCAGCCTGGTCTATAAAGCGAGTACCAGGCCAGCTGGGGTTACAGGGAGACCCTGTCTCAAAAAGACAAAAAGAAGTCATTGCCATAGTAGGTCGCCTTAGTACTCTCCTGCCATAATTTTGAGGAGAGAAATGTGACCAGCACTGGAGCTGGCTAACTTGTCTAGTCCAGCTAGCCAGTTTGCCCTGGAGAATCCCTTGTCTCTGCCTCCTAAGTGCTGGGATCAGAGTCAGCTTGCCACACCTGCCTAGAAGTCTACCTAGTTTTTTTGTTTTGTTTTTGTTTTTGAGACAGAGTCTCATTATGTAGCCCTGATTGGTCTGGAATTTGCTATCTAGATTAGGCTTGTCTCTAATTCACAGAGCCTGCCTCTGCTTCCCAAGTGCTGGGATTATAGGGGTGCACCACTATGCCTGGCCCTTAAATTTTTGGTTTTGAATACTTGGTTCTAGGGATCAAAAGCAGGAAAGCAGACCAGGCATAGTGACACATGCCTTTGATCCCAGTACTTGGGAGGCATAGGCAGTTGGATCTCTTGAGTCTGAGGCCAGCCAGGGCTATAAAAAAGTGAGACCCTGTTTAAAAAAACACACCCACAAAAAAAAAGCCAAAACAAAAAACCCTAATCAATCAATCAATCAATCAATCAACCAACCAATCAATCAATCAATCAATCAATCAATCAATCAAACAAACCCAAAGACCTAGGAAAGCATTCTATCACTAAAATATACCTGAAGTCCTTAACTTTAGTTGTTGTTTCTTGAGACAGACTCTGGGTATATAGCCTAGGTGGACCTTGAACTCACAATTGAGCAATATCTTAAAAAACAGATAGGAGATGGGGTGGGGGACTTACAACTGAAGTATACAGAAGAAGTGACAGGAAAGAAGGCTTAGAGCCTGGTGAACAGTAAGCACGTGGGTATTGCTGGTGCCCTGAGAGGCTCGTCTGTCATTAGAAACAGAGCAGAAAGGTTAACTGGGGTACTTCACCCTCTCCAGTACCTGCAGTCCGGGGTACAACAGACCACTCAGTAAAGGGTGCTCCACCTGCTTTACAACCTCAGCTCCAGCCTTCTTGGCATCATGTTGTGTGACCACAGAAGACAGTCGGTACACATCCAGTGTGTACTCTCTGCAGGGGAAAGGGGAGAAGACAGCCATAAGCCTGGGCCCAGACCTGTTTCCCAGGGACCGTCCTCAAGCACATTACTTTAGTCCCCTGAGCTTAGGACATTCTAAAGACAGCACTACTCGATAACTTCTACAATGTGAACAGTCTATCCACTCATCCAAAGTATTACTTTATGTTTCTATTTTTCCTTTTAGAAGAAGCTTCTTCTGACATCCGGCTTCCTTGCGGTTCTCTAGTCTCTTCTGGAATGCCTACTCAATAAATATTAGACTTTCTGAATCTCTCTTCCATGTCTTTAAAAAAAGTTTTAAATGTATGTAAAAAATATGAATACAAAGACTAACACACAGTTTAAGCAAAAAATGACCTAATAATACTTATGCTTTCCCGATCCTACCCCATGTCCATCTCCTCTGGAGAAACTACTCTCTTGAACTTGGTGCTGCTTTCCAGTTTTATGTTTGTATCTAGAAACAGTATGCTGTAAACAGATAGGTATACCAGCACTTTAATCCTAGCACTCTGGAGGTAGCGGCAGGTGGGTCTCTGAAATCAAGGCCAGCCTGGTCTATATAGTAGGTTAATTTTTGTCAACTTTATTACTTTTGTTATTTAAAAGCAATTATTTATTTTATGCATAGGTGTGTCTTGCTTGCATGTGCGTAAGTGCACATGCAATGCCTGAGAGGGTCAGAAGAGGCACTGGGAGCCCCAGAAGTGGAGTTAATAGACAGTTGTTAGCCATGTGGGTGCTGGGAGCTGAGCCTGGGTCCTCTAAAGCAGCCTGTGCTCTTAACCATTCAGTTATCTCTCCTACCTGTCTCTCTTTTTTTAAAGTTGCCATTTTGGTAACCATGTGCAGTTTTCACTATGATTTTAATCTATTTCTTTGAATAACAACTAGAGGTTATTATTTTTTCCATGTGATTACTGGTCATTTGGGATTCTTTTAAGAAATGCCTAGTTAAGTCTTTTTCTACTTAACAGACTCAATTTTTAATTTAAAAAAATTATTTTTAAATATGTTACTATCTGCATGTATGTAAGTGCACCTGTGTCATGCAATGTCCATGGAGGTTAGACGAGGACATCAGATCCCTTGGAACTGTAGTTATGGATGGCTGTTAGCTGCCATGTGGGTGCTGGGAACTGAACCCTGGTCCTTTGCAAGAACAGCCAGTATTCTTAACCACTGAGTCATCTCTCCAGCCCCTAAATTCAACTTTTAAAAAACAATTCTGGCTGGGTATGGTAGCGCATGCCTTTATTTCCCACTCTGTGAGATCAAGGCCAGCCTGGTCTATATAGCAAGTTACAGGTCACCTGGGGCTGCAGGGAGACCTTGTCTCAAAAAACAAAAACACCCCCCAATTCTGTAATTTAAGAAATACTGGATAGTAATCTTTTGTCAGTTACATGTATCGTAATGATCTTGTCCCATTTTGTGGCTTGCACTGTGTGTGTGTATGTGTGTGTGTGTGTGTGTGTGTGTGTGTGTGTGTATTGTGCCTGGAACCAAGAACTTTTTCATACTAAGCATTCATTCTACCACTGAGTGACAGCTCAGCCTGTGGCTTGACCTTTTATTTTACTTTTGATGTCCAGGAGGTCTTAGTTTGGGGTGGGAGGTTGCTGGGAATTACACCCAGCGCTTTGCATGGCAAGTGTGCACTCTACCACCAAGCCATACTCTTAGTCTCAGGAAATCATCATTTTAATGTAGTTCATTTCATCAGTCTTTTTCTGTGATTTGAGCCTTTGATGTGTACTGCTTAATTATGCCAACTTTGTGATCTTAACTCATTCTTTTTTAAAAATATTTTATTTATTTATTTTTTTAAGTGTATAAGTGTATTGCCTGCATGTATGAGTGCATCTGTGTTGTGTCGTGCAATGCCATGAAGGTCAGAAGAGGGCTTTGGATTCCCCTGGAACTGGAGTTAAGGACAGTTCATAGCTACCTTGTGGGTGCTGGGAATCGAATCTGGGTCCTCTGCAAGGAGCAGTCAGTGCTCTTAACCGCTAAGCCATCTCTCCAGCCCCAAGATCTTAACTCTTTCAAGGTGCAAGTAATTGTCAATGTCCCACTTAAAAAACCCCTATTCTGGGGCTGGAGAGATGGCTCAATAGTTAAAAGCACTAACTGCTCTTGCAGAGGACTAGGATTTAGTTCCCAGGACCCACATAGGCAGTTAACAACTGTCCATAACTCCAGTTCCAAGGGAATCCAATGCCTTCTTCTGACCTCTGCTGGCATTGTATGACATGGGTGCACTTAAACACACATGCAGGTAATACACTCATACATTAAAAATAATAATAACAAAATATATATATGAAAACCCATATTCTTTTTTTTTTTTTTGGTCTTTTTGAGACAGGGTCTCTCTGTAGCTCCAGCTGTCCTGGAACTCACTATGTAGACCAGGCTGTAGATCTGCCTGCCTCTGCCTCCCAAGTGCTGGGATTAAAGGCGTGCACCATCACACCTTTAATATATAGAAAACCCATATTCTACACATTCTAAGATGAATATATCTTTTTTGGGGGGGGCCTTTTTGAGACAAGGTCTCCCTATAGCCCCAGAACTCACTATGTAGACCAGGCTGGCCTTGAACTCACAGTAATCCACCTGCCTCTGCCTCCCGAGTGCTTCTAAGATGAATATATCTTAACATTTAGCATCTTTGAAACAGTCTGATAAATAAGGATGCATACACAACTTATTTTAAGGTATGGCCATCTCTTGGCATCTGCAGGGGACTGGTTCCTGGTACTTCCTTGGTACAAACAGCCAAAAATGTTCAGATCTCTTCCTGACATAAAATGCACAGCATTTCCATGTAACCTCCTCACAATAAAAATTGTTGGGGGAAGTGAGAAATGCATCCTTCTTTCACATTTCTTTTATCATGTGCTGAGGCTGGAAGAGAAAGGAGGTTGGATTGCTTCCACAGGCTATGGGCTCTGCAAGGCTGAGGCTTTGTTATGGCTACATTTATATCTGCAGCAAACACTATCTAGGTATTTCTGAGTCAGTACATTTTTCATTGCGTGAATTAAAAGGACAAAAAGTATAAATTGTTCAATGGTTCTTAATAGGTAGTATCAAACAGCTTCCAACACAAATTTAAAGAACACCTGGACTCCACAGGCCTGTAATTAGCAGGGAAAACCAGAGCCACGGGTGATCAAGCACTTACTTGCTGAGCTGGTAATCAGTGCCTTTGATAAACCTGAGCTTCTCCAGGGGCACACCAATGCTCTCCAGCATTGCCTTGATCACATTCTCATAGTAGGTGGTTCGGAGTTCTAGAAGTTCCCATGGGGCTTTCATGTTGTCCAGGTATGCATGAAGGTCCGCAAACAGAATCGTTACCTTGACAGAAGCATTAAAGACCACCCAAATGTGAATTTGTCCTGGTGCTTCCAAACTACTTCCCTGTCCCCACTCCTGCTAAGTATCTCTTCCTGTCATTTCCCAAGGACAACTTGGGACAGTCTGAGGTGACAGCCTGAGTTCTCACCTCACATCCTGCCTTCAGGAAGTCAGCAATCTTGGACATGGGCACAAAGTAAGCCACGTGTGGCTTCCCTGTGGTCGCTGTGCCCCAGTAAACTTTAAGTTCTCGCTCCTTCAGTATCTCCTTCAGCTTCTCTTCCCCAAGAACCTCCTGTTGTGGAAGCAGAAGAGCTGGTTTAATGCTGGTTCCCCACCTTGCTCATCCTTTACCCTGTGACAAGGAAAACAAAATCATGTGTCACAGGGGGTTCCAGGCTCAGAGCCTGTGGGCACACGTCACTGGAGTCCAGCCATGTTCTCAGTGCTGAGAACCAACTCAAGCTGTTTTTGCTGCCGCTAGGGCCTCTCCCAGGAAATGACATTGATGCTAGGGTGTTGGGGACACATACCTCCCCCTACCCCCCCTCTTACCCTCCTCCCTCTCGCAGCCACCTTCTTGAAGTAGCTATCTCCCTGGTCTCATTTCCTCATGTCCTGTTCCAATGTGAATTCCATACTCCTGTGAGGTTCATGGAAGACCTTTGGGTGGCAACTTCCATGAACACATTTTAGTTCGCTCCTTCCTTGAAAACACTCTTTTCTGGCTTCCTTATTCTCTGAGTTTCTCTCTTCACTGGCTGCTTAGATTTCTTTGCTGTTCTTCCTAATCATTAAATATTAGCAATCCTTAGGATGTTAGTATTTTCTCTTCTGATTCTTTTTAGTTTTGAGACAGGGTCTAATGTAGCTCAAGCTTGCCTCAAATTTGCTATGTAGCTGAGGCTGGCATTGAACTTCACATCCTCTACCTTTGGAGTGTTGATATTATAGTGCTACCATGTGTGGTTTATGCAGTGCTGAGAACCAAATCTGGGGCTTCATGTATGCTAAGCAAGAACTCTATCAATAAAGCTACATCTCCGTAGCTAATTCCACATTTTTCCCTCTCCCTTTGCTTGCTTCAAAGCAGTACAAATATAGATAGATAGATAGATAGATAGATAGATAGATAGATAGAGGGATAGATATAGATAGATGATATATAAAATAGATGATAGATAGATAGATAGATAGATAGATAGATAAGATCCTTGATGGATAGATGATAGATATTCATCACAAGTTTTAAACATGGTTGGGGATGTGGCTCAGTTGGTAGAGTGCTTGCCTAACATGGAGGAAGTCCAGGTTTGAGCCTCAGCATCACATAAAACTGGGTGTGGTGATGTGGTACACATCTATAAATCCCTAGAGGCCGGCCTGGGTTATATGAAAACTTATCTCAAAAAACAAAAACAAAATGTAAGTTTTAAGCAAAGATAGGATGCTTAGGTTACACAGAGATCCCGTCTCAAAAACAAAACAAAACAATCCTTTAATGATTCCTTTTGCCCTAAGTCAACATAGAAAAATCAGCATAGGCCAGTATGTCCCCAATAAAAAGTTTTCAGTGTTTAAGTGATGGTTTGGAGAGGATGTTAGAAACTATGATAGACAAAAGAGCTTTGTTAGTTTGAATCATTTAATAGCAAGGTTTGCTAAACTCCTGCGCTCTTAGCTGGTGGTAGGTCCTGTGTCCTACTCCACTGAACCCAACTATCTGGACTATCTACTTAGCCTGTAATTCCTAATGTCCCCAGTAAGCCTCATTTTATGGAAAAAAGCAATGAAACAATCTGGCTTAGAGGAAGCTGCAAAAATCTTAATTAAGCCATAAGTAGAATAACCTAAATGTCCACCAGCTGTTGAATAAATACAATGTGGCCTATGCATACAACAGAGTCACAGAAAGGAAGCAGGAAGGTGGTTTACACATTTGTGTCAATCTAAAGGTGGATCAGACCCAACTACTTTTGGCCAGGGGTATGGGTTTGAGAGAGAGGTCCCAGGTATTTGGCCTGAGTCTTGGAGCTGGTGGTATCTTTTTTTATTTTTTGGTCTTTTTGAGACAAGAGTTTCCCTGTAGCCCCAGCTGCCCTGGAACTCACTATGTAGACCAGGCTGGCCTTGAACTCACAGAGATCTGCCTGCCTCTGCCTCCCAAGTGTATCTTTTTTTTTTTTTTTTTTTTTTTTTTTTTAAAAAAAAGGATCACTGTGTAGCCCTGGGTGGCCTAGAACTCCCTATGTAAACCAGGCTTGCCTTGGACTCACAGAGATCCACCTGCCTCCGCTTCCTGAGTATTGGGATTAAAGTGGTGAGTCACTGTGCCAGCCTGGTGTCATTTTCTTATATGAGAGTTTTTTTTGTTGTTGTTATTGTTATAGTTTTAGATTGGTTAGGGGCATTTTTGGTCCTGGGATGGTAACCAAGGGTCTTGTACATGCTGAACGCGTACTCTTGCACTGAGCAATACCCCAGCCCAAGTTTGTTTCTGGAAGGGACAAAAGAATCTGTTTTGGCTAAAGAAAGGACCAGAGCCAGGTAGGTTGCATGCGCCTTCATCAAGAGGATAATAAATTTGAGGTCAGCCTGGGCTTCCCACAAGACTTTGTCTCAAACAGCCAAACTAAAATAAATAAAAATCAGAGATATGGGCTTCCACATATCTTTTTTGTGTGTCCACATTTCTTTTTTTCTAAATATTTTATTAATATTATTGGGGAGCGCTCTTTTTGAGACAGGGTCTCCCTGTAGCCCTAGCTGGCCTGGAACTCCTCACTATGTAGACCAGGCTGGCCTTGAATTCACAGAGATCCACCTGCCTCTACCTCTAGAGTGCCGGGATTAAAGGGGTACAAATTCATACCTGGCTATTTATTATTTTTATTTTATGTGTACAGTGTATTGCCTGCATGTATGTAAGTGCACTTGTGTTGTGCAAAGTCTGCAGAGGCCAGAATCCCCTTCAACAGATCCCCTGGAACTGGAGTTACAGAACTGTTATTAGTCACCATGTGGATGCTGGGAATCGAAACTGGGTCCTCTACAAGAGCAGCTAGTGCTCTTAACTGCTGAGCCATCTGTCCAGTCCCCCAGCATCCACATTTCTGTCTCTGTAAATGTCTGGACATTGTATTCATGCTCTCTGTCTTTGTCTCTGGGTTTGTTTCTCTTCCACCTGCCAGAGCCCTTTCCCACAGAGAGGCAGTTTCCTAGAAGAGACCAAAGGTCAGATCAGAGGGAGGACTGATTGGGAAAGGAAGGGGACTCAGAAGAGGGGATGATGAGGGACAGGAGAGTGAAGAGACTATAAGGACAAAGGGGAAGGTATAATGAGGAGGGTAGAAGTAGGGGCAGAAAAATAGGATGCAAAGCAGGGAGGAGTGAGAAGAAAAAAACGTGGATGAGCCTGGAAAACATTTTATGAAGGAAGTCAGACACAAATGGGCACATGTTGTATGACTCTAATTATGTGTCCAGAATAGGCATATAGTTAGGGACAGAAAGTAAATTAGCATTTCCTTAGAAATGGAGCGGAATGAGTAATGGGTAGAGACTGTTAATGGTACAAAATTTTCTTTTCTTCCTTTTTTAAATTTTATTTTGAGATAGGATCTCAAATAGCCCAATTTAGCTATGTAGCTAAGGATAGCTGTGAATTCTACTTCCCAAGTGCTGGGATGACAGGTGTGTGTTGCCATGCCCAGGTGTGGTTCAAATTTTTCTAGAGAATAAAAGTATTCTGGAACCCCAACCTTGTGTATATACAAAAACTGACTAAATTGCACCCTTTAAAATAGTGAACTGGAGCCGGGTGTGTTGGCGCATGCCTTTAGTCCCAGCACAGAGGCAGGCGGATCTCTGCTGAGCTCGAGGCTACCCTGGTCTAGCGAGTTCCTGGCCAGCCGGGGCTACAGGGAGACCCTGTCTCAAAAAGACAAAAGAATAAATAAATAATGGGGCTGTAGAGATGGTGCATCAGTTAAGACCACTGGCTTCTCTTGCAGAGGACCCAGGTTTAAGTTCCAGCACCCACAAGGTGGCTAACAACCATCTACACTGACCTCCATAGGCATTGAACAACACAGGTGCACTTACATACATTCAGGTGATACACTCATACACATAAAATAAAAATAATTAAAAAATTAAAATAGGCCGGGCGTGGTGGTGCACGCCTTTAATCCCAGCACTCAGGGGGCAGAGGCAGGCGGATCTCTGTGAATTCCAGGCCAGCCAGATCTACATAGTGAGTTACTGGACAGCTGGGGCTACAGGGAGGCCTGTCTCAAAAAGACCAAAAAAAAAGTAGAAGGTAAATATAATCAAACTACATTATATGAAATTCTCAGGTCAAAGTATAATATACACATATATGTATGTATGCGTGTGTGTGTGTATATATATACATATATATATATATATTTTAAAGAATAGGGGCTGGAGAGATAGCTCAGTAGTTAAAAGTATATTCTGTTCTTGCAGAGGACTTGAGTTCTACTCTCAGCACCACATCAGGTGGTTCACAATCACTTGTAACTCCAGCTCTAGGGGATCCAACACCTTCTTCTGAACTCCAAAGGCACCAACACTCAAGTACACATACCCACACACAGACACATACACATGCACATAATTAAAAATAAATCTAAGGGGCTGGAGAGATGGCTCAGAAGTTAAGAGCACTGGCTGTTAACAACCATCTTAAACTCCAGTTCCAGGTTCTGATGCCTTCTTCTGACCTCCACAGGCATTGCATGACACAGGTGCACTTACACACATGTGGGGAATACACTCATTCACATAGAATAAAAATAATATTTTTTTGTCTCTTTTTGAGAGAGGGTCTCCCCGTAGCTCCAGCTAGCCTGGAACTCACTATGTAGATCAGACTGGCCTTGAACTCGGAGATCCGCCTCTGCCTCTGGAGCGCTGGGATTACAGGCCTGCGCCACTACGCTCAACAATAATTTTTTTTTTTTCGGTCTTTTTGAGACAGGGTCTCCCTGTAGCCCCAGCTGTCCTGGAACTCACTATGTAGGCCAGGCTGGCCTTGAACTCACAGAGATCAGCCTGCCTCTGCCTCACGAGTGCTGGGACTAAAGGCGTGCACCACCGCGCCTGGCACATTTAAAAATAAAATCTAAAAAAAAGGATAAAAGGGAAGAAGCTGGGGTGCAACTGCTCTTAGAATATATTTCTTCCAATTTTATGATGGCTTCTAAGATAAAGTTTACAAGGCCCTCACGACTTGGTTCCTTCCTGTCTCTCCTCAACAGACAAGTAAAA